TGTATGTAACCATATAAAATTATATTTATCAAAATGAACTCCAGGAAGTGGAAACATGAGATTTTTTTTTCTTTGTTGCCATTTTTGTTTTCATTTCCTTTTTTCTTGTTTGTTCATTTGTTTGTCTTTGGGAGGGTAAGCATGGGTATGGAAATGCTGGGACAAAGGGTGAACAAATGCAGCAGTGATATTCACTAGACCCTGTGCTGAAAATGAACTATACAACTTGTGGGTGGGGATGGAAGGAAAAAAGCTGGGAGAGAGAAGGTGTACAGGAAGGGGTGATATTGTTCAAAAAGAAATATACTCATCTGGCTCTATATATCACCTTTAACAATAATAAAGCAAAAAATAAAACAAAGAAACATAAAGCACAGAGGAATTTTAGGGCAGTGAGCTATGCTGTAATAGACTGTGATGTCAGATGTCTAACATTTGTCAAAGTCCACAGAACTATAAAATATAAAAAGTGAATTCTAAAATCATCTGCTACTGGCTCATCAGTTGTAACAAATGCATCATGCTAGTCCAACAAGTTAGTAATAAGGAAAACTGGAAGGAAAGATTAATGAGAATGATTTGTATGAGCTCAAATGCTATATAAACTCATGACTGTTCTAAAAGTAGTCTTCTGTGGGATACTTTTTAATTGGGACTGCAACATTGCCTTTCACTTTAAAAGTTTTAAATTCACAATTGGGAGTGTTTGAATGTCCATTTTTTACTGTACCCAATACTGCATGCTATAACCTCTTCATCTTGGCCAGTCTAAAAACACAAAGATACCAAATCCTGTTTGGCTTGTATTCTTCTTTCAGAAGAATATTTAATATGCCAAAGAAGGAATACTTAAAAATTCTGATCCCATAACTTTTATTTTTGCAACTGCATGCCATTAAAGAATAACAAATGTACTTGATTCTGTTTTGAGGATGTAATAATGAATAGTACCCCTTAATTATCCATCTCCCAATGCTTGCCAATGCTACAATCAATAACAGTGCAAAAGTAAATATTTTGCATTATAGGTAAATGGAAATATTGGGAATTATCTGAGAGGCAAATACTTGGTAAGCATGACATTAATAGGGAAATTATGGAGACAGTGACACTTTCTAGGTCTAAAATTGTAAAATCTCATGAAAACAAAAAAAAGTTTAAAAAATTGCCCAAATCAGAGGGAAAGAATTGCCCAAAGCATAGTTTTATAGGATTTATCAGCTGTAACTCACCATCTTCTTATTAAATTCACAAGACTCCAGTGGTACCAATTTATATTTTCAGAAATAGCTGCTAATACTCTAGAGGAATCAGGACATAACCCAAATAGTGAAATTTTAGAAATACAACTATTCCCTCTGCAGAAAACAAAATCCAAAAGGGAAAACTTATACTAACAAGATCTTTAGAACAAAGAGCCCAAGAATTTTTAAGGAATAATAAGTACATGAACTGAAATAAAGGAATAAATTAGGAGTACAGGACCAAAAAATCTAAATTTAAATAAATAAATATAAATTTATAATTACAAATAAAATTAGAAATATTAGATTAAAAATAATTTAAATCGGCCTGGCTTGGTAGTACACGCCTATAATCCCAGCTACTCAGGAGGCTGAGATCTGAGGATCACAGTTCAAAGCCCGCTGGGCAGGAAAGGCCATAAGACTCTAATCTCCAATAAACCAATCGGAAAACCAGAAGTGGCACTGTGGCTTAAGTGGTAGAGCACTTGCCTTGAGCTGAAGAGCTCAGGGACAGTGCCCAAGCTCAGAGTTCAAGCCCCATGACCAACAACAATAATAATTTAAATCAAGAAGCACAAAAGATAAGACAAATACTTAAATGAATACACATCAGGAAAAAATCAGTCCATTATTTTAGAAACCCTAAGAACTCAATGCAATCCAATAGGAAAAGAATAATAGAACAAATCTCTGAAAAAAAAATATGGACAGACAAGAAAGACAGGATTGTAATCTCTGGCTTAATAGAAATCTGGATAATAGAAATTTATTGTGGATATTCTGGAAGCACAAGAAAAGAAAAATAAAAAGCCAATGCTTAGGAAATCATTATTAAAATTTCTGTACAGCTAAACAAAATGAGTGTTGAAAGATGCTCATCTGCCATACTCTATGAGAACATATTCATTATTATTCATTATTATACATATATACTAATATTGAGATTATTGTTAATATTTTTGTATGTATAATGCAGTTTAATAAACTGGCATACAGTGTTGCATCATGTCATCTTGTGCTAACATACAGACTGATGTTCAGCTGAAAAACAGTAAACTATTTCAGGCACTAAAATATTAAAATATCTTCACCACATTTGAATATGTGCTGTCCCTCCATTAGCCCCTAGCAAACTTTCCTAGATGTTCTTGGATTTTTCCAGAATATCTGACCTCTGGTACCATCAGAGCGTTCCAGAACTCTGCTCTAGCTTAAGAGCCAGCATCCCATCCAATGAGTGATCAGCTGTACTATAATGGTTGTTAAATATCTCCTCTGAACTCATCTCATTTGGTTTAAAAATGATCATTGATGCTCATGTTGTTGCTATGCCATGATTTATTCAATTATTCCCTTATTGTTTAACAATTAGTGTTTAAAATATTTGCATCGTATACGGACTGTGGTGAGCATCCTTTCCTTTATTTATTTATTTTTTATTGTGAAAATACTGTACAGAGGGGTTACAATTACATGGGCAAGATAATGAGTACATTTCTTATCAACCATTGTAGCCTCCTCCTTTGTTTCCCCTTCCCATCCCATCCTCCCCCTATCCCCCCCCCACCCAACCCTCCTCCCCCCCTCCACCAAAGTTGCAAAGTTCGTTTTCAACATAATGACTTGTATGTCTCATTGTTGCGATGGGTCCACCTGTATCCCTATTTAAACGATTTGTTTTTCCCCTTCCCCTCCACAAATTATACCCATATCAAATACAGTGAAAGCAGGGGTTATGCTGTGGGGGAAAGACATACAAAGCAACAAAGAAATAATCTTATAAATGTGTTAGAAACAATCGCATGAAAGAAAAAAATATTTGAATACGTATCTTAGGGTTCATTTCCCTAACATCAATTTAACTGACCTTTTCTGCTTGACTCAGACATAAACTAGTTATTGCAAATAAGGGAAATTATGGGACCTATGTTTCTTTGGACCTGGCTTACTTCACTTAATATAATTTTGTCCAAGTCTTTCCATTTCCTAACAAATGGGGCAATGTCATTCTTTATGATGGAGGCATAGAATTCCATTGTGTATATATACCACATTTTCTTGATCCATTCATCTACTGAGGGGCATCTGGGTTGGTTCCATATCTTAGCTATGGTAAATAAGGCTGCAATAAACATAGTTGTGGTGAGCATCCTTTCTTATTGCTTATTTGTGAAATTACCACTAGGTCCCAAGATGTTGATTACTGCCGAGGACTTGATAGCACTTTTTGCCATATGGCATTTGATTTACTTAAAGCCTTTAAATCAAAGAAACCTCCAAAACTGAAAAGGCCCTGAAAGTATAACAACCCTCCAGAATAAGAGTTTTCATGATACATGGAAGAAATATGTATGGCACATTACATATTAGAATTTTCTCGATATGTGTTCTTTCATTTGGTACTCGAACAAATTCTGTAGAAGTGGTAGGCCATAACTAACTTGTCCAAATCCAATCAATTAAAAATTGACTTGAACTGAGAATTTAATAGGAAATGGAGGTATGGCTCAAGTGGTAGAGCACCAGCCTTGAGCAGAAAAGCCAAGTAAGAGCATGAGACCCTGAGTTCAAGCCCCAGAACTGGTACACACACACACACACACACACACACACACACACACACAAATTTATATACTTAAGACTAAAATGAACCTTCTGTATCCATGTACATTCTCTCTACTTGAGAGATTTCTGTTTGGTAGGATATTATATGTGTGTATATATAAATATATATGCATATGCATGATTAATATTGTCCCTTTTCAGATCAATGTTTCTCAACACTTTTTCTCATCCTGTGCTTAATAGACAGAAGCAGCCCCTAGGAATTATCACTGACATTATAGTGATAACACATTAGTGTTATCACTAACACTAACATTGTGGCCATACTACCCTTCTAGCCTATGTGCTTAAAAACACTCTAGTTTTGATAAGCTTACACAAATGTCATGGATTGTTTTCAATCCAACATTAGTGCCATTATATCATTTCCATTCTGTTTGTAGGAAATAATGCAGTGCTCTGTAAATGAAGCACATGATAAACTCTTTTAATGATCCTAATAGACAGCCCGGTATGTACAATCTCTCAGTTACATTTTTTTTACTGAAGTGGAACTTTCCTTTAAGCCTCAGTCTTCCATTGTGACTCACCTAAACAAACTGGCATTCTTTCAGAACCAACATCTATGTTTTCCATACTGAAGAAGCATTGAAATTTTTCCTTCTAAAACATGCATTTTTTAAATTTGACAATCCTGCCATAACAACAAATGTGTTTCCATCCAGTCCTGTAATGTCAATTTGGCTTCAAACACATCACCTCATGCGCTGCCTGCAGGAAACATTCCTGTTATTTTAGAATTCAATCTGCTGAAGGCTCAGAGAACACGGCAGTGTGTCTGTAATTCATGTTTATTTTTAGACTTACATGACTTTCATTAGAAATCACAAATCTATCTTAACCCAGTTTAGACTCATATTCTGAAGGAAAAAAAAAAAAAAACATTCATTCCAGGAGAGTTTCAAGCAGTGTACCTTGAAAATAACTGAAAGAACTCATCTTGAAGGAGTAGGATATCAGTAGAAGTTGTTCTTCTGCATCTGTGTTGTAGAATTTAAAAAGTCCTTGTAGGTATTTCCTTCATGTAGCCAAACAACATCAGATGAGGATTCTTTAAAGAAAGAGTTTGCAAAATAAATGTGATAAATGAACTGCAGCCCCATAAAGCAAGATAAGATACTTGGGACAGCGTTGTATGAAAGGAGAGAAAGTTAGTCTTCCCCTTGACAAGACTGGTAGAAGCTCTTGAGCCTGACAGCACGCATATGGTTAAGCCATTGCCACCTACTTCGTGGCATCTAACCATCATTTTTGAAATATAGGTCCCATGGTTTCCCATATTTGCAATAACTAGTATATGTCTAGGACAAGCAGAAAAGGTCAAAACTATGAACATATGACCATATAAGATGATGCTAAGCAAAATGAACCCCAAGATAGGGACACAGAGGTTTTATCTTTGTTGCTGTTGTTTTTAATGTATTTATAATGTACCATGTGATTTTGTGTGTGTTTTTTGTATGTTCTTCCCCATGATATAACCCCCGTTTTCACTGTATTTGATTCCGATGCCCTGAATTTTGTATATTCATTATTCTAATTTGGGGAGGGGAAGGGAAATAACAAAATGCTGAAATAAGGATACAGGGTAACCTATTATAACAGTGAGATGTAAAAGGCACTATGTTGAAAACAACTTTACAACTTGTGGGAGGGGGGAAGGAGGGAGCAGTTGGGGTAGTGGGGAAGGAGGGAATGGTAGGGGGAAAACAAAGGAGAAGATAACAATGCTTGATAGGAAATGAACTCATTACCTTGCTCATGTAACTGTAACTTGCTCATATACTGTATCTTTACAGTATTTTACAATAAATATATATTTGTTTAAAAAAAGATACTTGGGAGAAAAATGTTGAAGATAGAACATTCATGAAGTCCCTGACAAATATCAAGTACTTTGTGCCATCGTAAGAACTTGGCATGGTACCATAAGACATAGGCCTTGTTATTACCCTCAATTTGCAGCTGAAAAATTGGAGCAAATAAAAAGTGAAGTCAAGAGCTGACATCAGTCTTGCTCAAAGCCAAAGCTATTCATTCCAACTTGTGCATTGTAATATACTTGGAGTAAGAGTGTGATTTAGCTCTCTGTGGTAGATCGCACTACTGTTCAAAACTCTTCACTGCTTCCAGCAGGTATACCCTTTTACTATGTGAGTCTACACAGCCGCTGACTGTAACGAGAGTTATACCTCATTGCAGCTCTGGTCTCAGCCATGCATCTTGGTTGAGCTAATAGGATCTTAATATACACAATGCAATCAATTACTGGAAAAGCATCAGCACCATTAAGCCTGGCCTCCAACAGCACTATTAGGAAGACAAAGTGATCTATGGAGTCATGGATGAGAAACACATGACCCACACAGCCTGGATCAGATTCATCCAAAAAGCTAAGGCACAGGAGTGCATGCAATCAAGACCACCATTGTCATCCAGCTACACCCTGCCCCGTTAGGACACCATCCGTCAATCTACAAATGTGTGCATATATTGATTCAGCCACTGTGTTTTCGTATTATTTGTCACACAATAATTTAACAATTTTGTCACAGAGGCTGACTGACTAAACTCCTCTGCCCACCTAACCTGACACAAAGAATTAGATTGTGATATATTTCTTTAAACTTTAAAAACCTACAAATTTGTAAACATCTACAAATATCATAAATACACAATGAATGAACAATGAAGAGAAAACCCAGAGTTCTTGAAACATTAAAAATGCTGGACATAATAAAATAATAATGTAAAATTTTCAACCTATGAACATTATATTTTAAAACAATGGATACAATGTTATACGGTCAAATATCTCAGTGGTAGAGCAATTGCATAGTTAAGCCCCTGGGGTCCATACTTCATACAAAAAATAAATAAAATCAACACAGAACTAAAAAAATGGCAAAGCCTCCCATGCTCCTGGATTGGAAAGATTAACATCGTGAAAATGGCAATACTTCCCAAGGCTATCTACAAATTCAACGCAATACCTATCAAAATTCCAACCTCATTCTTCAAGGAAAAAGAAGAGGCAATCCAAAAATTCATATGGAACAATAAAAGACCCCGAATAGCAAAAACGCTCCTCAACGGAAAGAACACTGCTGGAGGAATATCAATACCAAATTTCAAACTCTACTATAAAGCCATAGTAATCAAAACACCGTGGTACTGGCACAAGAAGAGACCTCAGGACCAATGGAATAGAATTGAAAACCCAGAAATGAACCTACAGACCTATAGCCATCTAATCTTCGATAAGGGAGCTAAAACAATAGAATGGAAGAAAGACAGCCTCTTCAGTAAATGGTGCTGGCAAAATTGGTCAACTACATGTAGAAAACTAAAGCTAGATCCTTATATATCACCCTGCACCAGAATCAACTCCAAATGGATCAAAGACCTTGAACTCAAAGCAGACACTCTGAAAACATTACAGGATGGAATAGGAGAAAACCTAGGTCTCCTTGGCTCAGGCCGAAATTTTCTGAATAGAGACCCGGAAACACAACAAATCAAAGAAAGGTTGGACAAATGGGATTGCATAAAGTTGCAGAGCTTCTGCAGGGCAAATGACATAGCTAGCAAGATCAATAGAAAGCCCACGGACTGGGAGAAGATCTTTACTAGCCATACAATGGACAAGGGTCTCATATCTAAAATATACTTGGAACTCAAAAAATTAAACCCCCCAACAACAAATCCTCAAAGAAACAACTGCCCAATAAATAAATGGGTGAAAGACTTAAAGAGAAACTTCTCTGAAGAAGAAGGAAGGATGGCCAATAGACACATGAAGAAATGTTCAACATCCCTAGCCATAAAAGAAATGCAAATCAAAACAACATTGAGATATCACCTCACCCCAGTTAGAACGGCAAAAATCAAGAACTCTAACAACAACAGATGCTGGAGGGGATGTGGACAGAAAGGAACCTTACTTCATTGTTGGTGGGAATGTAAACTTGTTCAACCACTTTGGAAAGCACTATGGAGGTTCCTCAAAAGACTGCACATAGAACTCCCCTATGACCCAGCAATCCCACTTTTGAGCATTTACCCAAATGATCACAAATAAGACCACACTAAAGCTACCAGCACAACTATGTTTATTGCAGCATTATTTACCATAGCTAAGATATGGAACCAACCCAGATGCCCCTCAGTAGATGAATGGATCAAGAAAATGTGGTATATATACACAATGGAATTCTATGCCTCCATCAGAAAGAATGACATTGCCCCATTTGTTAGGAAATGGAAAGACTTGGAAAAAATTATATTAAGTGAAGTAAGCAAGGCCCAAAGAAACATAGGTCCCATGGTTTCCCTTATTTGCAATGTCTAGTATAGCTATGAGTCAAGCGGAAAAGGTCAGATAATGTGATGTCAGGAAAATGAACCCTTAGATATGTATTTTAATGTTTTTTTTTCCATGCATGTGTTTCTAACGCATTTATAAGATTATCTCTTTGTTGCTTTGTATGTCCCTCCTCCACAGTATAACCCCTGCTTTCACTATATTTGATGTCAGTATAACTTGTGGAGGAGATGGGGAAAAACCAGTTGTTTAAGGATACAGGTGGACCTGTTGCAACAATGAGAAGTACAAGTTGTCATGTCCAAAACGAGCTTTACAACGTCGGTGCGGGGGGGGGGGGGGGGGGGTGAGGGGAAGGGGGGAGGGGGGGAAGGAGAGGAGAAGGATTGGGATTGGGGGTGAGGGGGGAGGCTGGGAAGGGATGTGAAGGGTAAACCAAAGGAGGAGGCTGCAATGCTTGGTAAGAAATGTACGCATTATCCTGCCCATGTTATTGTAACCCCTCTGTACAGTATGTTCACAAATAAAATTAAATTAAATTAAAAAATAAATAAATAAAACATGGACACAAAACTTGACAAATATTTATCTTTTATTACTACAGTTATCTTGACTCTCTGTCCCCTCCCAAAGAACTAACTTAATTCTCATTTGTATAAGATAGTGCCAATGTTAGAATCAGCACATCTGATTAATCTATTACTGCCCTTCTACAAACATTCATTGCTTGCTTCTAGCTCATGCATTTCCTCTACCTCTTGTGTCTGTGGTCCACTTTTGAGTATTTACCTCAGGCTGTATATCAGATTTTAGCCATACTTGAAGATCCAGTTCCAAATTTCTTTCTATAAAAGATTGCTATCTACTTTCTCTCTTCTATCATAATGACTTTCCACCAGCCAAAAATAATCTCCATCCCACAGTTCTCCTTTGATAATTTATCTGCACCTTTTTTATAGTATCACAACACTCTCCAGTTGAATTTTAGGTGTTTTTTTGCATTGTGATCTCTCTGCTATACCACAAGCCAAATAGTGAATGGCTTTCAAAAACCAAAATGATAAGATCAAAATGCACAGACAAACTGGGCACTGGTGACTCACACTGTAATCCTCGCTACTCAGGAAGCTGAGATCTGAGGATCTCGGTTCAAAGCCGGCCAGCCCAGGCAGGAAAGTCCGTGAGACTCTTATTTTCAATTAACCACCAGAGAACCAGAAGTGGCACTGTGGCTCAACTGGTAGAGTACTCATCTTGAGGTTATGAGCTCAAAGACAGGGCCCAGGCCCAGAGTTCAAGCTCCATGACTGATTCAAAAACAACAAAAAAGCACAGATGGCGGTCTTAAATGGCAAATGTTTCAGCCAAATGAAAAAGCATTCCAATCTGAAGGGAGAAAGCTAAAGTCAGGACATCTAACTTCTCTCAGTAGGTGAATACAGTATTAGAATTGGCAAGTCTTTCCGTTTTTGTAACATTTATGAATTCTAAGTAAAATTTTTATTTTAAATTATTGTAGCAGATTTCTTCTCCTCGTCCATGTGATAGACTTACATATCCACTTCCTTGGGACAGAGTACAATTTTCTACTTTACTAAGAAGAGGTGAGTTGCCTGGTGATTCACAACTGTAATCCTAGATGCTCCAGAAGCTGAGATCTGAGGACTGTGGTTCAAAGCCAGCCTAGGAAGGAAAGTCCCTGAGACTCTTATCTACAATTAACCACCAGAAAACCAGAAGTGGTGCTGTGGTTCAAAGTGGTAGCAAAAGAAATTAAGGACATATGTTTCTTTGGGCCTGGCTTACTTCACTTAATATAATTTTTTCCAAGTCTTTCCATTTCCTAACAAATGGGGCAATGTCATTCCTTCTGATGGAGGCATAGAATTCCATTGTGTATATATACCACATTTTCTTGATCCATTCATCT